TGCTATTAATAAATACATTGAACTCGACTCCATATACATTCCACTATGAAGGAAAACCGGAAGTGAGGCAATCCATCTCAACGGACCCCAGAGTTTAAAAACCAGGCGGGAAAACACACCGACGCTTCATCGGAGGGTGCACTGAGGATGTTACCAAGCATGGTAATGAAACGTCTACGAAACAAGAAACCAGCTCGGCGAGCCAACCAACCTCAACAACCTCAACACCCACAACCTGAGCTACAAATCTACTCCAAAGCCTTTCATAAATTACCTTTTATGATCTGAATTAATTTTTATTGTACTTAAACTCTTACTTTTATTTAGAAACTATGCATGGATATTAAGCAGTAAAATGATTGTTGTATGAAAACATTAGTAATGTTTTGTGGATAGTCAGCATTGATCTTGGCTGATTGTGTTAGAAATCGTGGCCAGTGATGCTACATCCTATAATGGCTGAAAATAGCAACCTTCTCAATTATTTTGGTTACTGCTTTCTACATCCTTTCAACAAATAAAATCTCGTTTTTATGGTGATAGCCAGAGCATTTTAACTTGTGAGCATTGCTGTTGAGGCAGCAATTATTATCCATCCCTAATTGCACTTAAGATAGTGTTGTTGAACATCGTTTTCGACTGTAGCAGTCCAAGTTTTGTAGGTGCATCTACAGTGTTGTTAGGAGGGACATCCAGGAGTTAGGCCCAGTGGTGGTGAAGGAATGTGTGTGACTTGGAGGAAAACTTGCAGTTGGGAACATTTCCACATGTCTACTGCCATTGTCCTTTGAGGGTGGTGGAGATCAGGGTTCATATGAGAGCGCTCTGATCAGATGTCGCAGCATGTCATATATGATACACTTTGCAGCTACTCTAGGGATTGCTGAATGGAATGAATGTTTAAACTGATGATGAGGAGATGCTGATCAAATGAACTTCCTTGCCTTGGATGGGTCAGCCTTCTTTAGTATTGTTGGGGTTGCAGTCATCCATGCAACAGGACATGTACCTTTAGGTTGCTCACAGTCTTTGAGAGTCAGATGATTTAATCACTGTACGATTCCCAACCTCTCACTTGCTCTGTGATCACAATTTTTTTTAATGTATGGGCCAGTTACATCACATAATGAGATACCGGATTCAGTATCAGGAAATAAACAACACCTAGCTGTACAAAAAAACAAATAAAAACTGCAGATGCTGGAAAGCAGAAACAGAAACAAAAGTTGCTGGAAAAATTCATCAGGTCTGGCAGCATCTGTGGAGAGAAAGCAGAATCACAGTTTTGGGTCCATTTCTGCAGAAGGGTCACTGGACCTGAAACGTTAATTCTGCTTTCTTTCCACAGATGCTGCCAGACCTGCTAAGTTTTTCCAGCAATTTCTGTTTTTGTAGCATCTGGCTATGTTTTAATTCCTTTTCAAAAATGAGGGAAAACAAGCAGCTAGCCTATTTCAGAGCAAAGAGGTTTAGCTGATTTTAAAGGGTGCTTGCTGTAATTTTGTAACACAAAGTTAGCTGTCAGACCAACAAATTTGGACACGGGGTTACTTCTGCCAGGGATCCAGAGGTATGATCCCAAGATTCTATTAGTTTCAAAATTGTTATGGAAAAGGATAAACCTTCCATAAAAGTTAAAGTTTTTAATTGGAGTAAGGCAAATTTTAAAGGTATGAGACACGAACTTTCAAAGGTTGATTGGAGCAGAGTATTTGCAGGTAAAAGAATGTCTGACAAGTGGGAGGCATTCAAGGGTGTGATGACAAGAGTTCAAACGCATTTTGCTCCTGTTAGAGCGAAGGATAATGCTGGTAAGATTATGGAACAATGGATGAATAAAGATATTGAGGTTCTAGTCAAGAATAAAAGAGAATCTTTTCTTTAGATACAGGCAACTTGGTTCAGTTGGATCTTTTAATCAATATAAAGAGTGTAAGGGTATTCTTAAGAGAGAAATCAGGGGGTCAAAGAGGGAAAACAAGATAACATTGGCAGATAAGATTAAGAATAATCCAAAGAGATTCTACAAATACATTAAGAGCAAGAGGGTAACTAGAGAGAGGGCCTCTTAAAGATCAAGGAGGTCATCTTTGTGTTGAACCCTAGGAGATGGGAGAAATGAATATTTCACGTCGATTTTTACAGTGGAAAAAGAAATGGAGTCTAGAAAATGCAGAGAAGTAAACTTTGAAATTTTAAAAACAGTTCACATTATGAAAAAGGAAGTCTGGGAAGTCTTAGAGAATAAAAAGGTGTATAAATCTCTGGGACCTGATCTAATGTATCCCAGAATATTGTGGGAAGTAAGGCAGGAAATTACGAGACTTCTTGCAGAAATATTTGCATCATCCATGAGGTGCCTGATGTCTGAAGGGTCGCTAATGTTGTACCTTTGTTTAAGAAAGGCTGTAAGGAGAAACTGGGAAACTATAAATCTGTTAGACTGACTTTGGTTGTGCATAAATTGTTGGAGGTTATATAAAAGATAGGATTTATGAACATTTAGAAGCAAAAATTGATTAGTGAAAGTTGGCATGGTTTTGTGCGAAGAAAATCGTGTCTCACAAACTTGATTGAGTTTTTTGAGGAAGTTACCAAAAGGTTTGATGATGGCAGAACAGTAGACCTTGTTTATTTGGATTTTAGTAAAGCCTTTGACAAGGTTCCGCATGGTAGACTAATTAGTAAAATTAGGTCACATGGGATTCAGGGTGAGTTTGCCAATTAGATATGGAATTGGCTTAACGACAGGTGTCGGAGGGTAATGGTGGAGGATTGTTTCTTGGACTGGAGGCCTGTGATCAGCGGTGTTCCACGGGGATCAGTTCTAGGCCCTCTTTTGTTTGTCATTTATGTAAATGATTTGGATGCGAATATAGAAACAATGTTTATTAAGTTTGCAGATGACACCAAAATTGATGGCATAGTAGACAGTGAAGAAAGTTTTCTAAGATTACAAAGGGACCTTGATCAAATGGGTCAATGGGCTGAAAAATGGCAGATGGGGTTCATTCTGGATAAATGTGAGTTCTTGCATTTTGGTATAACAAACAAGATAGGGCTTATACAATTAATGGTAGGGTAGTGTTGTAAAGCAGAGGGACCTCGGGGTGCAGGTGCATAATTCTTTGAAGTTTGTGTAACATACAGACAGGTTGGTTAAGAAGGCATTTGGCACGATTGCCGTCATTGCTTAGTCCTTTGAGTGTAGGAGTTTGGACGTTATGTCGAGGTTGTACAGGACATTGGTGAGGCCTCTTCTGGAATACTGTGTCCAGTTGTGGTCGCCCAGTTATAGGAAGGATATTATCAAGCTGGAGAGGGTTCAGAAGAGATTTACCAGGATGTTTTTGGGTATGGCGTATTTGAGTTATAAGGAAAGGCATGATAGGCTGGGATTTTTTTCACTGGAGCGTAGGAGTTTGAGAGGTGTCCTGAGAGAAATTTATAAAATAATGAGAGGTATAGATAGAGTTACTGGTAGTTGTCTTTTTCCTAAAATAGGGAATTTGAAGACTTAAAAATGACACATTTTTAAGGTGAGAGGAGAGAGATTTAAAAAAGACATGAGAGGTAAATTTTTTACACAGAGGGTGGTCGCGTGTGGAATGAACTTCCTGATGAAGTGGTGGATGCAGGTGCAATAACAACGTTTAAAAGACATTTGGATGGATATATGAATAGGAAAGGTTCGGAGGGATGTTGGCCAGGAGCAGGCAGGTGGGACTAGTTTAGTTTGGGATTATGTTTGGCATGGACTGGTTGGACCGAAGAGTCTGTTTCTGTGCTGTATGACTCTATGACTCTAAGAGGAAGCTCTTTGTTAAGGTAATGGATGATTGCCATGCTTTCCTTATGAACTCAAGTAGAGCAACTGAAGTTTCACCTGACTTACACAAGAAAACTTGAAATAAAAGTTATTTATACTACCTTGCTGAACCTTGTCTGATCCTGACACCCTGGCTCTTTGACACTTTGTGCTAGTAAGGAAGCCACCTCTGCTTCCCTGTTCATGTTAAATCACAGATTAAACCTTGATGACGCTGTAAACCTGATATGCATATCTAAAGAAGATTCCATTAGCTTGGGGAAGGGAAGTCCTTGCCATTTGTAATTTAAAATGCGATCAGCTAATTAATTTAGGAACGAAGTGGGGAAATGACCTGCTTTATTTTAACTGCCACGTACTCAGCCCTTCTGAGTAATCTCTTCAATAAGATAATGCTAAAGTCAGCCTGATCCATTTCAACAACCGCAGTACGAATTTAAAACTAAATAGCCAAATCATGTTTTGGAGAAAATGCAATTGTTACAGCTGTACTTTAAAAAAAGATCATTTTGAAATTTATATTGAGCAAATGGAATCTAATTTTGAATCTTGTTTGACATAAGCTTCTCTGCACTGATGTGCATTAGATAAATTAACTTTGATATTCCTACCAGGACTCAACTAATATCACACAACATCTGAGTTCTTAATACAAGCAAGCTACTTCTTGTTTGTAGGTATAGACAACTCATTGTGGAAAAGTAAGTGACATGAAGATGATATAAAGGTGCATGGAAGGTTCTTAATTTAAACAAGATGACTATATCGTGATGTGAAGATCATTTAAATGAGAGCTAATTGGGTAGTTGCTGTTTGTGTTTTTCAGCCAACATTGAGGAAATAATAAATTTCAGTGGAAATTAAAATTTGTTTCTATAGATTTACTGTATATTGCTAATGTTGTTTTAGATGACTTAAGTTGAAGAAAATGTGTTGTAGTCCTGATATATCTTCTGTGTATCATTCTTATTTCTTTTACTTCTATATTCATTGAGAGATCTTAATTCACCAGATTTTTAAAATTTCTTATTGTTAATTGCTGTTGATACAGTGCAACGTCACCAATAAATCCATGCTAAATTAATTTTAAAAGTTACCAATGCACACTTTTAGTTCACCTGCTTATATGACTCCATTTGATTGATTGGGTCGTCTTTTATCTACCTTCTAGCTCATACTACTCGAAGGGACTGTTGCAGTGAGAGGCACTTTTGCTTATGTAGCCCAACAGGCGTGGCTCCTTAATGCTTCTTTGCGTGATAATATCTTGTTTGGCAAAAATTACGAGGAAGAAAGGTAAGAGTTCACCATTTTTGGTGTTATTTCCTTGCTTAAGTTTTTCAAGATACAGTTTCACAGGTGTTAGATTTCACCCACGAAGTCAACTTGCATGTGTGAATGTTGGTTCTGAATGTTGGCAGGCGTTTTGATAATGCCTAAAATCTGTGAACATGATTTTTTTGTTTCACTCCATTTTCAGGTAAAGAGCTAGAATTACTTATAAAGTGTCATTTCCTTACTTCTTTTCAGCTCTTTTCTATGAAAGGAGCAGAGTCTCAAAAGTAAAATGTCTTGCTTATGTCAGTATACAAACAAAGACAAAGCCCACTGTCATTATTCATATTGATTTGGCTATTAGTAAATTGTAAAATCAATTTAGTTCATATCATCAACCAAGAGTGTTACCTGTTTAATGATCAACGTAAGATTGTGACCTCACTGTGTAGGGAATTGGAGGCCTCATCATCATTTTTCTGGTGTAACAGTAGTGTGAAAGTGCCATTTTATTTTTTTAGCTGAACAGATCAATAATGTGGATTTTTCTGCAGAGTTCTTTTATTCCAGGAAGAGAAGCCCACTAACATCCTATGTTTGATATTCCAGTTAGTTGCTATTATTTAACTTGGATTACTTGAGGGCACTTTTGACTCTGGATCAGAGGGGTGTAGCCTTAAATCTTTCAGAGGTTAACATTGCAATGGATGATATCCTAATGTCCTGCCTGCCTCTTCAGATGAACGTCCTATTCAAAGTCAACGTTCCTCTTCACAGTCCAATGAAATGCCATGGTGAAATAGCAAGGTTCTCGGCTGGAGAGAAGCTCAGCGTGAATTAGTCCTTCACATCTGATGTAAGCTCAACACATTGATCAATTACTCAGGCTTCAAATGGCTGTGCAGCAGTTTTAAACCGAGAGGGTTAATTCTTGCAGCTAAGTCTGAATTACATTGAGATTTTGGAGGGTTTTTCACCTTGAGGCCGAGCAAGTTTTTTCACCTTGTCTTATCAAAGTTGCCCCATGCCATCTCTCACATCCATTTCATCCTACCATGTGCCATTCAAGATATCTGCTGAAAGATCACATTCCCCTTGCATCCTCACCATTTTTAAAAGTCTATTGTGCACCTGGATGAGCACTGGTATTCCAAAGCTGCTCTGCACAGTGGCAGATAGAATATGAACATGTTGGAAAAGGAATAAGATGGCACTGCGTTTCTCTGACAGGGATCTGGAGGTCCTGGTGGATGGGCTGGCTGGTCCAGAGGAGAAGTGGTATCTTCCAGGAGGACAGGCAGAGGGGCCTGCATTACCAGATCCTATAAGCTTGGTGAGAAGTTGCCACCTAGGTCAGTGTCATCTCTGGAATGTGGGGAAACAGCCAACAATGCTGAAAGCAGGTCAGTGAATCTCCCATTCAACGTCCCACACCACTCGATCATTACCGTCAAAACGGGGGATCAACCCTGTTTCAATGGAGAGTGCAGGAGGGCATGCCAGGAGCAGCACCAGGCATACCTGAAGATGAGGTGTCAACCTGGTGAAGCCACCAAACAGGACAACTTACATGTCAAACAGCATAAGCAGCAAGTGATAGAGCTAAGCAATTCCACAATCAACGGATCAGATCTAAGCTCTGCAGTCCTGCCACATCCAGTCGTGAATGGTGGTGGACAGTTTCGCAACTCACTTGAGGAAAAGGCTCCACAAATATCCCCATCTTCAATGATGGAACAGCCCAGCACATCAGTGCAAAATTTAAGGCTGAAGCTTTCACAACAATGTTCAGCCAGAAGTGCCAAATGGATGATCCATCTTGGCCTCCTCCACTGGTCCCCAGCATTATAGATACCATTCTTCAGCTAATTCGATTCACTCCACAAGATATCAAGATATGGTTGGAGACACTGGATACTACAAAGGCTATGAGCCCAGACAACCTTCTGGCAAAAGTACTGAAGACTTGTGTTCCAGAACTTGCCACTCCCATAGCCAAGCTGTTCCAGTACAGTTACAACAGTGGTATCTACCCAACAATGTGGAAAATTGCACAGATATGACCTGTATATAAAAAGCAGGACAGATCCAACCCTGCCAATTGTTGCCCTAACAGTCTACTCACGATCATAAGTAAAGCGATGGAAGGTGCCATCAACAGTGCTATCAAGCAGCACCTGCTCAGCAATAACCTGCTCAGTGATGCCCTGTTTGGGTTCGGCCAGGGTCACTCAGTTCCTGACCTCATTACAGCCTTGGTTCAAACATGGACAAAAGAGCTGAATTCCAGAGGTGAGGTGAGGTGATAGTGACAGCCCTTGACATCAAGTCTGCATTTGACCGAGTGTGGCATCAAGGAGCCCTGGAAAAACTGGAATCAATGGGTATCAGGGGGCAAACTCTCCGGTGGTTAGAGCGATACCTGACACATAGGAAGATGGGCATGTTTGTTGGCGGTCAACCATCTCAGTTCCAAGACATCTCTGCAGGAGTTCTTCAGGATAGTGTCCTAGGCTCAAGCATCTTCAGCTGCTTCATCAATGACCTTCCCTCCATCATAAGGTCAGAAGTAGGGATGTTTGCCAATGATTGTGCAATGTTCAGCAACATTCACGACTCCTCAGATACTGAAGCAGTCCATGTTCAAATAAAACAAGATCTGGACAATATCCAGGCTTGGGCTGACAAGTGGCAAGTAACATTTGCGCCACATAAATGCCAGGCTAGGACCATCACTATAAGAGACAATCCAACCATCACCCCATGGCATTCAATGGTGTTACCATCACTGAATTCTCCATTATCAACACCCTGGGGGTTTTCACTGACCAGAAACTCAATTGGACTCACCATATAAACACAGTGGCTACAAGACCAAGTCAGAGGCCAGGAATACTGTGGCGAGTAACTCACCTCCTGACTCCTGAAAGCCTGTCCACCATGTACAAAGCACAAGTCAGGAGTGTGGTGGAATACTCCCCACTTGCCTGGATGAGTGCAGCCCCAACAACACTCAAGAAGCTTGACACTATCCAGGACAAAGCAGCCCACTTGATTTACATTCCGTCCACAAGCATCCACTTCCTCCACCACCGACACTCAGTAGCAGCAGTGTATACAATCTAATAGATTCACTGCAGAAATTCACCATAGTTCCTCAGACAGCACCTTCCAAACCCACAACCGCTTCCATGTGGAAGGACATGGGCAGCAGATATATGGGAACACTACAACCAGAAGTTCCCGTCTAAGCCACTCGCCATCCTGACTTGGAAATATATCGTCATTCCTTCACAGTTGCTGGGTCAAAATCCCTCGCTACTAGCTTTGTGGGTCAACCCACAGCGGGTGGACTGCAGCGGTTCAAGAAGGCAGCTCACCACTACCTTCTCAAGGGCAACTAGAGATGGGCATTAAATGCAGACCAGCTAGCAATACCCACATCCCACATATGAACACATGAAAAAAAAACTCTGTGCTGCCTCCCTAGTCTTCTTGAATCGCCTCACCACCTTTCCCCCACATGCTCCAGCACTAACAGCTGTGCCATCCACTGTAACCTCACACATTGGCCCTCTTTTATTCATTACAGAAGAAGACAGTCCACAACAGGGCAGAGTAAGTTGTATGTGTGGAGATGTGCTTGACATCCATGTCTTCACTCGCGATGAGGAGCGAATCTTCATTGTCACATCTCCTCTAACTATTGGCCGTGATGCTTTCTTTTCAATTTGTCTCGCAAGTTCCAATAGCCTGCCCTTGCCCTCTATAATGAAAGGAAAGATCCATCTCCACCTAAAACATCTCCTTAACCTCAGGACGAGAGCAAGTCTGCCTCCTAGACCCTCCCACCAGCCCAGATATTGGCATGTCGGGGGGACCAATAGACATAAAAAGTGTGGCTATACAATCTGATGGGCATCTCTTAATGACAGCTCTGCAGCTGGCCAAGGGAGAAATGGTCCAGGCAGATTATATTCAAAGGACGGCTGAAGACCATCTGCCCCAGGAGGGAGAAGGTGCTGTGGCGTCTGCAATTAGAGACTGCATCCTAACGCACAAGGTGAAGCAGCAGTGTATGGAATGCAATGGTCCTCATTGCTGAAGCTGCAGCAGTGCAGTGAATCCTGCAACTGTCTAGTTGCCGACATGGGCAAGTTGGCAGCTGCCATGGACAGCCAGGTCTAGCACCCTCAGGGGCTATCAGAGAGGCGCAGACTCCTACACTCCACCTCCCCAGCCATTTTTCCTCAGAACCAAAGTCATAATGATAGATGGTTGAGGAACCTTGACCCAGTCAAAGGGTTTTGCCCTCACAAGGAGACAGGGCAGGCCAGGAGGCAGCCCGTCTGAAATGGAACCAAACACAAACACTTTCTACTCAGAAGTGACCAGACCCTTCACCTCCAACCCTTGGACATTCAAGCCTCTAGAGAAAATGCCCTCGACATATTTGGCCCGTCCAAACACAAGCACCTCCTGGGTCACCCAAACAAACATACAACGCCAATAGAATCCACTTCCAAGCAGGTTACTTTCACTGCAGTTGAGGAACCAGGGACTACATTAAGATTTGGTGGAAGGGAGAGAAAGATGGAACTTCGGTGGCACAGCTGAAAAGGCTGTCATGTGTCTCAGTTTCTACATAAATGTTCCTGAAGTTAATTGTCATGCGTTTGTGAGTCTCTCTCGGTAAGTGCTATACGTGTCTTAACACCATCAGGCAGCTCGTCATGAGCAAAGATGTTCCATGGATGGAAGTTTGCCCTGTGAGCCTATTGCACCATTTGGAAGCAGGGGGAATAATGTATATACGTTTGGTCATGGTGACACCTTTGACCATCCTTGTTCAACATCTCTAATGTTTGGCTCCCTCTAAGCGCAAAAGTGTAGCTGTCAAGGAATTGTCCTGCTGTTACTATGTCGGGAAATTGAACATACAACACTGTTAATACTTAGGTTGACCAGGATGATGAATGGACTCCTAACAGTTTGATTGCCATGTTTGATAAGTGCTGCCT